AGTACAATCTGGACCCCAAGCTGCTGCTGAACTTCTACCGCTCGTCCATCGAGAGCCTGCTGACATACTGTGTTACGGTATGGTACGGTAGCTGCACTGTGTTAGACAGGGAGAGACTTCAAAGAGTAATAAGGGCAGCACAGAAGACCATTGGCTGCCCTCTCCCCTCCCTGATGGACATCTACACCTCCCGTTGCCTCAGCAGAGGAAAAACTATGATTAAGGACAGCTTTCACCCTGACTCTGACCTGTTTAATCTGTTGCCCTCAGGGAGACGCTACAGGTGCATCAGAACAAGGACAAACAGGCTCAAGAATAGTTTTTTCCCAAAAGCCATAGACATTATAAATACACACATGTAGATATACACTTACACAATACAATTTTCTTATTTTGTGGTGCTGTATATGTCTATTTTATTAAATTTTTTTGTATGTGCGTTTTTGTATATGCGTTTGAATATGTATGTGTATATGTATGTATGTGTGTATATGTATAAATGTGTATATGTGGATATATATGTTTGTATATGTATATATCTATGTGTGTGTGTGTGTGTGTGTGTGTGCGCATTTATGTACGTGTATGTATATATGTATATGTGTATATTTATATATATATATATATATATATATATATAAATATATATGAATATATATATATATATATATTATTATATTGTTTTATTATTATTCTTTTTATTTTTTTTTTTTTTTTTTTTTTATCTTATTCATTCTATGTATATCCTGGCAAGATATTAAGGAGTGGCTCTTAATTTCACTGTACATGTGTATAGTGACAATAAAGGCATTCATTCATTCATTCATTCATTCATTCATATATGCTTCTGTAAAGCTGCTTTGAGACAATGTCCATTGTTAAAAGCGCTATACAAATAAAACTGAATTGAATTGAAGAATGCTCCTGCGACATTACATTATGGAGAGTGACTGCTTCTGGGTATCTCATTGCGTAGTCCACTAGAACTAACACAAAGCAATGCCCTCATAAAGTCTGGTCTACCGGCCTGACAAGGTCCATGCCAACTTTTTCAGAGAAGACCTAGATTAATGGAAGTGGGCACAACGGTGCTTTTGTAGCAGACGGCGGAGTCACCAGCTGACATGAATACCCAGCCAATAAAAATGAGCCATTTGATGTGTCAGTGCCTTATCCTATATTACAACTCACTTTCTCCCTTTATTTACTCAACCAGTGCTCGACCACACCCCTACTCCCACAGTGCGCTTCACCAAATGCAAATCAGCTGTAACGACATGCATCTGCCAATTTATGGGTCACTCATCAACATACACACGTGCATACAAAGAAAATCAATATTTCAGAAACGTTCTTAAATCCAGTGGAAATTTGTAGTTCGGTTTGGTGTGAATAAACATTTACACACAACTTTACTGAAGACTGACTAAATGTGGCCCATTGTTCGGGAGTGAACATGGGCGCACTCTTTCTGTCCTCCGAGACTCTAGGACAAAAAATACTTTTCTGACCCAAAAGCAGAAGAGATCAATTAAAATCAGCACAAAGTAGTGACGATGCTGCCTGATTTATATTGTAATGAATAATTTCATCACAGTATAACATCACAGAGTTTTTCTCTGCTCTATATTTTGTTATATTCCGAGTGTGTGGTTAAGCAGCTTTCTCATATAGAACCATGATCGAATGTACTTTCTGTCCCCACACTCTTTCCTTCCTCTGTATTTCCCCCTCTTATAAAGCTCTTACACGCTATCTATTACCCACTGACCGCTACCTGTTTGTGTGTGTGTGTGTGTGTCTGTGTTTTACCCACATCAGACACTCTTATCAAGTCAAGCGGGTTTTATTGTCATTCCTCTGTATAACTTGTACACATTGGAACCTAATACCATTTCTACAGAATCATGATGAACCACATAATAATACAATGTTACAGCACACAAGACTAGAGAAAGTGCAGATACACAACAGTGTGAGACCAGTATTAAAAAAAAAAAAACTAAATACACAAGAGCAAAAATAAATGCATGTTAACTAGAAGGACAACAGAACAGTGGAGTGTGGGGAAACTAGCACAACACTATTTGGCAAACCTAGCAAAAAGTAGAATCATAAATAATAATGCAACATGGTAAAGTGCAGGTGTGGGTTAAGGGATTGATTAGTCCACTGGATCATTGGTAGGCAGTAGAGAATTCTGACTGGCTTGGGTAAGAAGCTGATCAGGAGTCTGGTGATGGTTGCATGGGTGCTCCGGTATCTACTACAAGAATGCAGAAGGGTGATGAGTCACTGAGAGAAGTGGGAGGTGTCGTCCAGAAGACTGATGGCCTCGAGGATGCACTAGTTGTTGTCAGAGGTGCTGTTGGTGGGTAAAGAGACCCTGATGCTGTATTCATCTTTTCTGACAATGCGCTGTAGGGTATTGCGGCATGAAACTGTGCAGCTCCTGAATGAAACAATGAGGCAGCTGGTCAAGATGCTTTCTACATAGTTATTAACATTAAGAGCTACACTATATGGCCAAATGTATGTGGACACCTGCACATCACAACTCTATGTGATTCTTCCCCAAACTGTTGCACACAATTGTAGGCCATGGAATGTCTTTCTATGCTGTAGTATTGCAATTTCCCTTCACTGGAACCCAAACCTGTTCACAGTGTGCACAAAGCGAGCTCCTTGTAGACATGGTGTGTGAACGTTGGAGAAGGTAGAACACCGTTGGGATGAACTGGAACTGGAGTCACATCAACTCACATCAACAACAGTACCTGATCTCAATCTCACAAACGTCCTTGTAGGTGAATGAACACAAATCCCCACAGCCACATCCCAAAATCTAGTTGATCACAAATTTCTGACCGTATAATGTAGCTGTACACCATTCTGAGAGCTGCTCCACCTCCTCCCTGTATGCTGACTCATTATTAATACTGATGAGGTCCACGACTGTAGTATCATCAACAAACCTGATGATGTGTTTAGTATGTGCTGCTCTTTACAGTATAGTCATGAGTCAGCGGTGTTAACAGCATAAACAGCCAGAGCAATCTGGACAACAAACTGGACTGTCAGTCAACACTGAGGCACTGTACAAGAAAGGACAGAGCAGGCTGTACTTCCTGAGGAGACTACGGTCCTTCAATGTCTGCAGCAAGCTCCTTTGGATGTTCTACCAGTCTGTTGTTGCCAGCGTCCTCTTCTATGCTGTGGTATGCTGGGGAGGAAGCACTAAGAAGAAGGATGCTGGACGACTGGACAGACTGGTAAGGAAGCTGGCTCGGTTGTGGGAGTGGAACTGGAGTGTATCACTTCAGTGTCAGACAAAAGGACCATGAACAAACTGATGAATATTCTGGACAATGACTGTCATCCACTCCATAACACTATCTTAAATCAAAAGAGCTCTATTAGTGGGAGGTTACGTTCACTGCCATGCACAACTGACAGGCCGGGGAAGTCTTTTCTCCCTAGGGCTATACAGCTGTACAATGCTTCACTTAAAGGAAGAGGTGAGATAGACTTCTCTGCATAGTCTATCTGCCTCTTCACCCCTTCATACATTCACATACACTTCCATGACCTCTTACAACAATGTGTGTACTGACTCACTGTGTGATTGTTTTGCTATTTATACTGTCTAAGGACTATATTAGACTGCATGTATAACCCCCTTAATTCTCAGTCTGTGGATTCGTGATTGGTATATTTTACTGTTCTTCTTGAGTCTTCTTTAGCATTCTACTTGTATTTTTATTTTGTTGTATGTTGTACTGTGTGTGATGTCTTTGAGCTACTGGGACCCTGAATTTCCCCTTGGGGATCAATAAAGTATCTATCTATCTATCTATCTATCTATCTATCTATCTATCTATCTATCTATCTATCTATCTATCTATCTATCTATCTATCTATCTATCTATCTATCTATCTATCTATCTATCTATCTGAAAACAGTAGCAATTTTTATTTATTAAAGAACAACACATTCTGTTTTTGATATACAGTATATCTATAAACATCGCAAAAGAACTTCTAATCGCTATCTGTGTGTTAGTCGCTATCTCTTACTCATCAAACCAGGGTCCCCTCCCCCAGTAGAGTCTCTAGACCACAATAATTTTTTCCCATAATGCCCTGCACACATTTGCACACGCACATTAAGTCTTGATCATGTCTTGTATTTTGGACATTTTCTTTACAAATGGTTCAAATCGGCCCTTACTGAAAAATCACATGAACAATCACATGAGTCACATGAGGAAAAACGTATGCTCATGTGTGAAACGTATGAGATTTTGTAGAAACATAATGCTGTTCTTTAGCACGCTGCACTACAAACACAGTCGGGGAAATATCGAAGTACGAGTTGTGTGAATAATTAGAAACAGTTAATAATAATGCTTTATTATCTCTGTGTATTGTGTGTGATGATAGGTAAGATCACATGGGTGGTAAAGTGTTAAATGCTTCTCAGATCTTTCTTGTTGTATGTGAAAACCACAGCAGGCTTTTCTGTGGAAGAGGTGCATTAGTTTCTCTCTCAGTCAAACTGAATCTTTTTCGTCACCTACATATACCCAAACCACACTCTCCTCCTCCTCCTTTCAGTTTATATAAACTCTAGAGTCAGGGGATATCTGCATTAATACTATTCTGTCCACATCATCATCATCACCATCATCATCACCATCATCATCACTATCATCATCACCATTATCATCATCATCATCATCATCGTCATCATCTCATCATCATCATCATCATCATCAGCAGCAGCAGTCATGTTCTCTCGTTCTCTCCTCCTGGTTCTGCTGGGTCTCGTCTGCCTTCAGTCCTTCACAACTGCCCAGAGTAAGATAAAGTTATTTTATTGTTTTTATAATATTTAATATGTAATTTTTTTGGTACATAGTATAATAAAACAAATATATATAATACTACTATGTAATACTATACTACTACTGATCATACATATTATTTATGTTAGCTATGGGTACATGGTGGCTTAGTGGTTAGCACGTTCGCCTCACGCCGCCAAGGTCCGGGGTTCGATTCCATGTATGTGCGGAGTTTGCATCGAACCCCCAAGGTCCGGGGTTCGATTCCATGTATGTGCGGAGTTTGCATGTTCTCCCCGTGCTGCGGGGGTTTCCTCCGGGTACTCCGGTTTCCTCCTCCAGTCCAAAGACATGCATGGTAGGTTGATTGGTAGGTTGGTAAATTGTCCATAGTGTGTGAGTGTGTGTGTGATTGTGCCCTGTGATGGACTGGCACCCTGTCCAGGGTGTACCCCACCTTGAGCCCGATGCTCCCTGGGATAGACTCCAGGTTCTTGAAGAAGGAATAAGCGGTTGAAGATAGATGGATTGATATATTAACTATTGAGCAGTGCAGCAGCAAAATGAATAAATAAACCTTATAGAACCACCATATGAATGATTTGACACTTTTTTTAAAAATGTGGAGCGTCAGCAATTTAAGTTGCTGTGAATGAGCTGTTACTATAGCAACGATAACGTATAAGAATAAGAGCATGAATGAGATTTACAGCTGCGCTACTGTCAGAGCTGCTGTTATAGAACATTAATCAACACCTTCTGACCAATCAGAGTCCAGAATTTAAAAGCGATGTGGTACAGTTTAAAACATACAAGGGCAGCACCTCTTACCAGATTAAAAAAAAAAAAAAAAACATTTTTTTTTATTGAGCATTTAATCGCAGAACTAATTGCATGAATGTTTTCACACAGATGGAAATGGACCAGCACGATGCTGTTTCAGCTTCCAGAATCCCAAGGATAAAATCCCTATAAAAGTCATTACAGCGTATGAAGTAACAGACCTTCAGTGTACAAAACCTGGAGTCATGTAAGTTTTCACCCCTCATTATTTTTCTTATTCATTTTAATTAATAATATAAAAGTTAGCATTTTCATGTTATTGCCTTATGGTTATGTGTAATATCATGTCACTATAAATTATCTTGGAGGATTTAGAGTAGAGTAGAGAGGAGAGTGTTTGATTTTTTGTCTTTATTACAGTTATACACTGATGTAAATCTTCTCTCTCCTCTGCAGCTTTACCGTAAAGGAAGGCCGTAAGGTGTGTGCAGACCTCAGCATCGACTGGGTTCAGAAACACAAGAAAACAATTGACAAGCGCCTGTTTGAAAGATTGACCCCACCTCAAACCACTGAATCCTCTCAACATTAATATGATTTTTTATAAAAAATTTTTTACAAAATGCACTTTTTTATGAATGTATACAGAAGTAATAAAGCTTTTTACTGTATATCCAGTTTTAACCAAACTTTTGCTTGAATTATCTAGCATTATTTAGCTGAATTATACTATAGGCAATGGGGATTCGTTAATTTTATTTTTATACAGATTAAATCATTTTTAAAAATTGCATTTTCACATTTTAAAAGAAAACAATGTTTATCATCATCAATGACATTTAAAAAAAAAGCAACATTGAATAAAAAATGTTTCCACTACTCAGTATCTTTCATTCTTTCTCACATGTACTGTATAAGTTCCTGGTTTGCTGCCAAATTGTGTTTAATTTCTTAACAACTACATACAGATGTGTATTTAACTACATATAACTATAATAATAATAATAAACATTCTTTAATACATAATAATAAAAAGATGATTGGCAAACTGCTGCAGTATAAGGGGAATAAAACACTTTGGGATGTTCAGGACCAACTTCAGTGTGTTTACAGTAACTCAGCTTCATTACTGATTATTTTACTGTAACAGCACCACACAGAGTTTTATTCCTCATTTACTAATCAGAGAATGTCAGCTCTTTATCAGATATTAAGTAGGCTAGACTGTTATAATGTAACAGACGTAACACACACAATACAAAGCATACATATACAGTGTGTTACTAAGACTTTAAACTATCATGAGTCACAAGAACAGATTCAGCATCAATACACCTTGGTACTGTATCGACTCTACACGTCTCTGGAACTACGAGATGTTCTTCTACACTATATTCCCTCAGTTGGAGTTGTGATGATGGTGGGGAAAGTTCTGACTAACACATCAACCCAAAATCTCACATAGATTTGAGACCCGGTGGTTTACACCATTTACATCAATCATCCCCATCAAACCATTCAATGAGTCCACTTGCCCTGTTGATGTGGGCGGAGTCACTCTGGAACTGACCACGCCCCTCATTTGATAATAAAGATGATCAGGTCAAAAGAACTTTGTGTTGATTTGGAAGGACTTTTGCCTCTGAGGTGACAAGTTGAGCAAAAATAAATCCCCCTCAGGGATCACAGAACCACCGTTTTTCCGTTAATTTGTCATCCATCAATACTGTCACTCATTATGTGTTTAGGTAGGCTTATACTACACCTTCATTTAGAACAGGTGTGTTATACTCATCTCAGGTAACCATTTTGGGGCCTGACAAGAAAAATCAGTTTAGGAGACCAACAACAAATCAATCAAGTCCTCTTTAATATGTTAATGGAAAATTCAAAACCACAGCTGTGTATCTCTGAAAGTCCCTTATTGCCTCTTGTATATGACACCTTGCCCTTATAAGGAAAATTCATACCTTTTGTAATTGGGGAAGCTTAGTGTGTGTGTGTGTGTTGTGTGTGTGTGTGTGTGTGTGTGTGTGTGTGTGTGTGTGTGTGTGTGTGTGTGTGTGTGTGTGTACGTGTGTGCGTGTGTGTGCGCGCGTGTGTGTGTGTGTGTGTGTGCTATCATGATGACTACTCTCCATTAAGCAAACCCAATTTCTACAAAATAAGTGGCTTTTATTTGACATTTTTTTAAATTATTATTTTAGGAGTGGGAACATCTCCTCTAGATTACTGAGGGTAAACAGTAGATAATGCAGCTGTAGATAATGGGTTTATATTAATGCACTTGTGGAGGGTGGACGGTGATCTATTATTAGCGCTGTAACTAAGCGTCACAATGCTCAACAGGAAGCCAGTGTAGGGGCAGAGCTGAAGGTTGCATGAGTGAATGTAGGAGGACTCCTACCTTTTCATCTATACATCATATACGTAGTGATGAAAGACCAATCTTTATCTCTCTTTTAATCTAAACCACTTTAACTCTGTTAGATTTCACACTATCAGAGATCTCCGATATGCCTTTCAGCCTGTTTTACCATTCACATCTAGTAACATTTAGTTACTTTTAGTTCTATGTTGTTATGATCTAGAAAGTGTGGTTTACTGCAGAGTCAGGCACCTGGAGAATCCGAAATGAACACACACACACACTGAGAGATATGAGCGTGTTCAAAAGAGACTTCCCCCTTTATTCATTCGAAGCAGAAGAATTTATACACATTGTACACATTGATAACAGCAGTGCGTGGATGGTTTCTACTGGTCCAGGTGTCAGACAGATTTAGACAAAACACAGCACTTAGTTATGATACAAAATAAGTCCCATGTCATGTTGACACAGAAGTACATAATAATATAATCAAGGATAGCAGTTGATCAGCATATTGAAAGAAGTAACTAAATGATGAGAGCAGTTCATAATATAAGAGGGTACATAATATAAAATATAAGATGATAAAAGAGAATTTCCTTTCAAACTCCATCCATACATCAGTGTCCACCCATTTCCGTCTATCTATCCATTTTTTCCACTAAACTAATCATTTAATAAGATCTGATATTATTTGGGTTTAGCTTGATATATGCAGTTAAGTCAGTTAAGTTAGTGTAGGAATTACAGCACATTTTATATGTGAACACCTTCAATCATTTTTTAGGGTTTTAAAGTAATTGGCCAAATAGCTGTTATACCATGGCCAGGTGTGTGTGATTCCTCACTTACAAGTAAGCAGATAAAAGATCTAGAGTTTCTTTAACATGTGGCATTTGATTTGAAAAATCTAAATAAAGTCACGTCATTTTTAATTCTGGTACAAACTTTGAAAAAAGGGATGCACTGGTGAGCTCAGAACGCCAAAAGGCCCAGAAGACCACTGAAGACTACTGTAGTAGATGACTAGTAGAAGAATTCCTTCCCGGTGTTTGAAAAAAACCCTTTCGCAACATTTGACCAGATGAAGAACATGTTCCAGGTGGTTGGAGTATCTCTGTCAAAGTCAACAATCAAGAGAAGACTTCACCAGAGTAAATACAGAGGGTTAAACCACAATGTGTAAACCATTGGTAGGCCTCAAAAACAGGAAGAACAGATTAAAGTTTTCCACAATTTTATTTTATTTTTTTAATGTAATAAAAGCCTGTACAGTTCTGGAACAACACCCTATGGACAGAAATGACAAAGATCAACTTCTACCAGAATGACGGAAAAGGAAAGGAACCGCTCATGATCTTAAATGTACCATCTTTTGGTACATGGGGTGGTTGTGGCACAGGTGGTGGAGCGGGTTTTCCACCAATCGTAGGGTTGGCGGTTTGATTCCCGGCCCGAATGACCCCACATGTCAAAGTGTCCTTGGGCAAGACACTGAACCCCAAGTTGCTCCTAATGGCAAGTTAGTGACTTGCATGGTAGCTCTGCTACCATTGGTGTGTGAGTGTGGGTGAATGAGACACAGTGTAAAGTGCTTTGGATAAAAGCGCTATACAAGTGTGCCGTTTACCATTGCTTATGTACTACTATCTTATGGTGTGGGAATGTACAGTTTCCAGTGGATCTGGTTCTGTTGTATTTATTGATGATGTGATTGCTGACAAAACAAGCAGAATGAATTCTGAAGTGCGATATTACTGCATCTGCTCACATTCAGCCCAATGCTTTAAAACTCATTGGATGGCGCTTCACATACTTCGAAAGCAACCCAATACTTATTTAAGGCAAAGAAGTGGAAATCACCTGACTTCATTCCAACTGAGCAGTATCTCACTTACTCAAGAGAAAAGTGAAGACAAAACACCCCAAGAACAAGCACAAAGTGAAGACAGCTGCAGTAAAGGGTTTGGTGAGCTGAATGGCATATATAAAAATACTGTAATTCCTACTCCATTCACCTGATATGGAAATAAACCCCATCCTGGTTTATATTTAAATCCGATAACTCCAATATT